TTTTCTTAAAACCTTTCACTTGTCTCATTTCTCATTTTTTTTCTTTTATCCAATATAGTCAGAAATTGTTATATATAAATAGTTTTAATTAGGCTGATTTTATGTCTTCTTTTATTGCAAACATGACTGTTACTGTTCTTTTTTAGTTTTATTTTTATTCAGAAATATATAAACAGATTTAATTTTTTTGTTCTTTAAAATTTATAATAGTAAGACTTCTAATATGCTTCTTGATAATTCTGTCAGTTTTGTTATATATTTTCTTTATCTTTCTCTAGTTTTATGGTTCTCTTTCCTTTAGTTACTTATACTAGTTCATTATTATTTACTAGTATGGCCTATAAGATGTTTTCATATGTTTTCTTTATTTTAACTACAATTAAGGCCTTATATTTTGATCTTTTAATTCTTATTATGTGGGCTTTTCTAACTCTTTTACAGATGTATTCTAGTTCTTTTTTGTTTATATTAGTTGGTAAGTCCCAAATCATTAAATTACTTATGTTTTTTAATTTTTTATTTGTTTTATATTAGTTTTTATTTATCTTAATTTTATTCTTCTTCTATTTATGTTTTTCTTTTTTGGTTCTTAAATTATTATTATTATTTTTAATATTTCTCTTTATATTGTATTTGCTTCTCTATATTGCCTTTTTTTTCTTCTGATATCATTCTGTATCAGTTACTTTTTTTTTTACTAATTCTTTGTATTGCTTTATTTTTGCTATATTCATAGGCAAAGTCTACTTCTATCTATAAGTTTCTTCTTTTAAAGACTTTTCTAATGTCTTTGGCATGTACATTGTTTCTTAGTAACCATCTAATAAATTTTTATGCTCATGTTTTGTTTTTTTTGGTATATTGTATACTGATATATTAGCAAGTAAATTGTTGATTTGGTTACAATTTTTCTTGTTTAAAGCCTATATGCTCTCTTCTAGAGGTTTTTCAACTATATCAATTTTCTTTTTGATTTCTGGTTCAATGTCTTCTTGTTTTTACTTTTTTCTTTGTTCTTCTGTATTTCTTTTTTGATTGAATAAATTTTTATTTTCTTAATTATTGTTTATCTGACTTATCTTTATATTTATTTCTTTTAATGCACTTTTAGTATTATTCTGCACTTTTTTTTTGATTAGTTTTTTTTTTTTTTTTTATATTATTTTGTATACTTCTTCTTGATTTTTGTTTACTTCTATTGACTGTTGTTGTACCTATTTTTCTTTGTTATATATTTGTTTTATTATAGGTTCTTCTATTATGATGTTCTTGTTTTCTTTAATAATGTTAATCTTCTTTTCTGAGTGCTCTTCTTCTGTTTTTTTAATTATTTTTCTAGGTATATATAGCAAAGCAATCTTTAATGTATTTTGTTTTGTTAGCATAACAACAATTTCATCTTCTCTGTCTGATGTTGTAAAGGTTTTACTGTCTTGATTAAAAAACATCTTGTTGTATATACTATTTTTATCCAATATGCTCTTCTAATATAAGTTAACATTAGACTTTCTTTTTAATATTGTGTACTACTTATATTTCATCTGATTATTAGTAGTTACTATTTGTTGTTTATTGTTTTAGAATTTTCTATATTTATATTTATTACTATTTAAATTAAATTTGTTTTTACATTTATCAATATATATGTTTGTTTTGTTTGTCTATTCACATGTTACTATGATTTATAGATTTGCATTTTTAGGTTACAGAGAATTTTTTAATTTTATTTTTCAAAGTATTGACTAAGGTGTTTTTCTTCCTATCTTTTTTACTAAGTTTTTTATTTTTCTACATTTATTTCTTGTTATATCTTCTTTATAAGCTCTATTTTTTTTTTTAGACTTGTAATATTAGTTTTAACAGTTGTTTCTTAGCAAACTTTTAAAATATTTTTTCTACAATTTTGTATACAAGTGATCAGTAAAAAAGAATTCATTCATAATCTCTGTAATTACAAGTATTAAATAATTATAATATATTATATTAAACTAAATTAGCTATTTATAAAATATAATAGACTTTAGTAAGTTTTTTGTTAAAGATAAAATAGTTCTAAGAGTATTAATAAAAATTAGAAACTTGTATAGACTATACTCTAAAGATATTTTTATAATACAGATTGGATGATATATGCAGAAGATTTAAATAAACAAAACTTATAATTAACTTGCAAATATAACATCTAGTATAAAACTTATATATATAGTAATTTATTAAAGAATTACTTAAATTAAACACTAAAATATATATGTGATTAACTGTAACCTCCAATGTAAAGAAGTTTTTGAAGGCACCTGTATTCTATATTTGAATAAAAATTATTTTTCAAAAGCAAAAACTTTAATATATAAAAAAAAATTAAAAAAATTTTATTTAATAAATTTTTTATATAATTATTAATTATTTTTTTTAATAATACTATAAGAATGTAATAATTTAGTAAAGTAGATAAGTTGTTAACTCTTCAAGAGGTAGATTATAAGTTCAAAACTTATTAATGATGAAAATTTGAATAATCATTTATATAATACTTATATATTATAACAATAGCTTTTCTGTTAATCAGTTAAAATAAGATACTTGTAACTATGATTGTATCAGTATAACTGACAGGTCATATGTAGTCTTGGTTATACAGAAGAATGCAAACTAATATCAAGCAATGCAAATTTAAATTAAGTTTTTGTATTTGTATAAATCTGTAAAACAGAAAAAACCAAAACCTATTTTGAAAAATCTGAGTAAAGAAGTAATACAAACCTTTGATAATACTACTATAAAAACTAAACTTAGAAAACAGATATTAATATAAAGAAGTCAGATAGACAAAAATCTCAAGATAATAGATATTACCAACCAGGTCACTAAAATTAAACTAAAAAAAAAAAAATATTAGACTAACTTAATATAGCAAAAACAAATTACAATCCTATTAGATTATTTGAATTAAGAATTTGAAATCAAAGCAAGAGTATACCAAAAATACTAGAGATATGCTGTAAAATAAGTACTAGAGTTTGGATAAACTTTACAAGAATTAGTTTTGTTAATATTCTATAAAATAGGCAGATAGTTAAAAAAAAACACTTCAGGACCTTACAGTTAGATAACATGCTTTAGAATATATAACAGTTTGGCAGATATGCAAAAAGAAAGGTTAAATGTTGGGTTAGATGACACTTAGATATATGGAAACCAGATGCTACTTGCCTAGGTACAATATAAAGATCAGAGTGTTTAAATAAGTAATTTCTTAGCAGATTACAGATATGATAACTAGTATAGAACCTCTGGGTAAACTACTTAAATAAGTAATCAGAAATTACATATATAACTAGTTGCATACTTACCTTGTATAAGTTTATATAATAATTGACTAAAATACAAATAAGAATAGTAACTACCAATAATATCAACCTTAGCAAAAACAATATAAAAATAAAAATAAAAATAATGCTATAACTATATAAAGATATTTTTATAATTGTCACCCTTCTATATAATTACCAATTTCCATATCTCAAAAGTGTGATTATAGAGAAGTTAAACTATATACTTCATATTATTAATAAATTATTATTTATTTAAAAAAATACTAAATATAATTTAATTTTTCAAGTAAATTTGTCTAAAATATAGTTTAAAAGATAAATTAAAAACCAATTAATTTAAATACTTTTTATGAATTTATAAATTAATAAGAAAAAAATATTTAATTAACATAATAAATTTGGTTTTAAAACTTAGTATTATAGTATATAATTTTAAAAATATAATTTAAAAATAACATTCATTAGATTTAATATTATTAATAAGCTTTTTAATTACGGTCTATACTATTTTTTATATCCCGAAGGTGTGATTATATGAACGTTTGACTGTAGTCTAATGCCATCATTTACGTTTTATAAAGAACTTAAACCATTGAAAATGTTGTATTATGTAAAATTCTGGTTTATTACATCTCAAACAAAGAAATATAATGAAAATAATTATTAATCAACTATTAATTAATTGAATATAGATATTACAATTAAAATAAAAATATTTTAATTTTACGAACCATAGACTTTCCGCAGTAAAAAGTACGAACATGTAACAATCGACCAATAGCTGACAAAAAAAAAATTTCCTTGAACAATTTTACTATATACTCTAGTGTTCAATTGACTCTAATATATATGGGGTGAGTCAATAGAAACGCATCATATTTTTTTCTAAGTAAATTTTTTTAAAACTTTAAACAAAGATAACTCAATAACAACTTTATCAAATTTAATAATCCTAAAAACTTATAGAATTAAATTGATTAAGCTTTTGCTAAGTTATTTTTGTTTAAAGATTCATTAAAAATGATATGGTGCGTTTCTACCATAAATTAATAGTAAATTATCACCCGTGTGATGTCAATTACAATTCAGCGCAGCGAATTTACCTGTAATCTTATTTCAGGTGCAGTGATCAAAATCGTATGATTTTCGTCTTGGTTATAAATTACAGCAGTATTCGATACGATACTATCACTATGTATACATAAACTGTTTGTCATAATAACTACGTATAAGGAGAGACAGAAATTACAATTGTTTTCAGAGATTGTATTCTCCTTCCATTTCAAATAAGGAAATAAGAATGATTTTCTCCCTCTTAAAAATTACGTAATTCCTGATAGATCACTAATTAGATTTTTCACATGAATAGTAATCTGGTATACTAATATGGTAAAGAAGTAGTAATCTTTCAGAAATTCTGTACAATTAAATAAAGATACAGCATGAATGAAGGTCTTATTAAAGTTGTAATTAAAGACAACAAGAACTATTTGAGAATTTTATCTTCTAAATATGGGGTGCGTACTGCATAAAAAAATTAAATGTCCTATAAAAATTCAAGATTTTTAGGCCAATTAGATTATCTATCTGTATCACGCTAAGAATTAAACATATCGATATCATCATACGTAGTGATTATAGAAATTAAACGAAACCATTTTTTACGCGATGGTAGTCCCTCATAAATCACAACTAACAAAGCCCCGTGTTAAACGGGCTCAATCTTCGACTACTCTACAATTTGCTCCTCCAGATTGGTTTTCAAACATATTTCAGAATGGTACAAGTACCTTCATGGTACATCCGGGTGAAACTCGAGCCGGGTATATGTGGAATCTTTTGAATCAAATGCTTTCAAAACTTTATTCTGTGCCTTATCTTGCACCAAAATTATTATTTATTACGATATGTGCAGGCATGGGTTCAGTTCTTCCTTATCTCCCAATTTTTTATAATACTTCCTTAGCTTTAACTTCCACACAAATTGGTATTGTCTTTTCTATTGCACCCTTTATTTCCGCCTTGAGCTGTCCTCTTTGGACGGGTCTGGCTGACAAATTTCAATCACATCGATTCATCATTATTATACTTTATTTTTTGGCGACCATTAGTGTTGTTGGTCAAATGATTATACCATTAATAATTGACGTTCATAATTCAAGTAACAATGGTCTTGTTATGGTATGCGTGTTATTTGCTGCGCTGTGGTTTGCTTTCTTCGGTGTACCTGTTAATGCATTAGTCGATAGTGGTGTACTAAAGATTCTCGGTGATAAAAGAGAACTTTATGGTATGTCAGTTTTCGTAATGAATGCTAAGAGAGCTCGGCTTATTTATTTAATATTAATGTGTAATCTTTTTGTAATTTAATAAGGTCAACAGAGATTATGGGGATCTATCTCATATGGCAGTAGCACTTTAATAATTGGTCTTTTATGGAGTGCTGCGAATAACATCAATGTTGTCTTTTACTACTTCATTGGGAGTGCAATCTTGTTTTTACTTTGCACTCTTTGTACTGATTTCAATCAGTTTGTAGATGATTTTGAAATAATTACAACACGTTCCAACGACATTTCTTTCAAACCATTAATTAGTCTCGATGATGACAATGATGATGTCGCGTCTAGTTCGAGAAGCAACGTTAAATTTAACAATAGTTCAAGTTCCGTAATTAATCTATCCTCCCATGTTGGTGAATCTGATGGTGATGATTCTTCAATAGATGAAGATGATGATGAGATGTTGGTACCTGACCTAGATATTTTAGCATTTCCACCAACATCACTTAATCTTCCTACCGCCTCATTTGCAAGCAATCCCACTTCATCAATGAAAATGTTACTTACCAATCCTTCAGTAGTGACCTTATTAATGGTCATGTTACTAATGGGGACTGCCTTTGCCATGAGCAACGCATTCCTATTATTATTCCTTAATCAAGAATTGGGAGCTAGTTCGATAGTTCTTGGTTTAACGGGTCCACTTAGCGCTGTTGCCGAATTATTGTTTTTCTTTTACTCAAAAGAGGTAATTTTTGTTAGATATTATTGCATTCACCCATTTATTTTGATGATTTATTTTGATAACTTAAAATTTGTGTCAATTTTATCTATTAGTTAATATCTCGTTTCGGTCTTTGTCCATTGATTTTTCTTGCTCACATTGTTACGATAATACGATGTTTCATGTATATATTTTTGCAAAAAAACACAATTTCATATATATTGGCGCTCCTGGCTCAACTTCTGAATGGTATTGGCTTTTCTGCTTTGTGGATTTCTGGCGTCACACATATAGCTAATAGTGCACCACCTAGTCTCATCTCATTTTCGCAGGGTGTCATGACTGCCGTATATGCTGGCTTTGGTACAGGTTTTGGAAGTTTGTTTGGTGGTATTTTATATGATAGTGCGGGTGGTCCAAGAGTTATGTTTGGTGTTGTAGTGGGCATTAGTATTGCGAGTTTAATTATGTATTGGTGGGGGGAAAATGGGTTCAAAGTTAATGTAAGTCACTTTGGTGGTAGAAGACGTGAACCAAGATTTCCTTGGCAGGATGTACCCGTTGGGGGAGGTCAGATTAATTTGGGGAGGTCTAAAAGCACTCTATCTATTGAAGTTTCAAGACCAGCAAAAAAAGGTAGATACGAATTATTATCACAAGAAGATGATGATGAACAATATCATTATGGTATATTCGGGGAAGGGCGATTATGAATTTTAATTTAATGTGCTTTTGAAATTCATCATTATTCATCTTATTCTAGAATTTTCAAATTCCTTTTTTCTTTTTTTTTTTAGAAAAATTGTTTAATAACTTGTAGATATTTACGATTTATACTTTAAAATTGATACTTTTGGACTAATTAATGTTAATTTCAATAAAAATATAGACATTTAATGTATGTAAAGAAATTTAAGAAATTTATTCCTAATACATAATTAAATTTACATGAATAAATATTTTTATATCTTAGAATAATAAAATGTATCATACATATGTTAATAACGATTGCTTTTAAAATCCAAACGTTTATATTTTTCACAATCTTTGTTTAATCCAATTTTCTAATCCATTAGCTACCCATATCTCTTGAACGCTTTTCCCTAATACACCAACCCTAAACTCATTATCCACACCATTCAACCCTTTAATCAACACCTTACCTTCAGCGAATTTAACTTCGACATCTAAACGTGTGCGTATGGTTTTTTCCTCTATATTGTAAGAACTTTTTAAAAGTTGTACAAGTTCAGGAGATTCAAGGCAAATCAAGGCATTATTTATCGAATTCCGTTTGAACGTCTGAGAATAAGTGCCAGCTATAAGAAGCGATATGCCACAAGCTTTAATTGCAGTGGCAGCTTGTTCTCGAGATGATCCCGTCCCAAAATTAAATCCTCCAACCAGAATGTCTCCCTATTAAAGCTGGTTAGTATTATAAAATTATTTGGAAATCATTACAAATATTGGAATATACTAAATACCTTAAGAACTATGCTTGCGAATTTAGGATCATAATTTTCCATGACAACTTTGGCCATTTTCTCGACTGGAAAATCATCCACATAAGTGTATTTGCCAGGATAAATTCCATCTGTATTTAAATTATCTGCTGGGCAAAATAACATTTGTCCTTTAATAGTATCTGGGAATCCTGGTACGATTGAATCATTACTGATCGTTGAATTTTCGATATACTCGTTAGGAAAGTTGAGCGTATAAGTTATTTTTGGTGTTGGTGGTGATGAAGTAGAGAGGTAAGCTGGATTAGCGATCTTTCCAGCTACAGCAGAAGCAGCAACAACAGCTAATATGATTTGAAATTTATAAAAATTATCATGATTGCAGCTAAATAAGAGGGATATACCCGAAGATGTATACGAATTTGACAATTAACCTGGGGAAGCAAGATAGGCTAGCGCACTTGGAGATCCCATTCGACCTTTAAAATTCCTATTAGTTGCTGAAATACCAACTTCTCCATCTTTTAAAAGGCCAGTACCAAGTCCTATTAGGTAATAACTTATGAATTTATCAATGAAACAATCATCAATATACCAAAGGAAAAAAAAGTGTCAACCAACCAATGCATGGCCCACAACCAGCAGGTAAAGTCTTTGCGCCCGCATTGACGAGCGTTTGCCAATCACCACTTGCTTCTGCATCTTTTTGTACTTCACTACTTGCTGCTGCTATATAAAACTCAACACCATCTGCCACTTTTTTTCCTTTAATAACATGAGCAGCAGCTTTTAAGTCCCCCGCGCGAGAGTTAACACATGATACAAGGTATGCCTTATTAATGTTGATATTTTTTTTTTCAAGTTCAGCAAGGGATGTTGAAATTTTGACAGAATTGGGACCAGAAATATATGGTGAAACTGTTGAAAGGTCCAAGGTCAAATGTTTTGCATAATATGCATCCGGAGATGATAGTATAGGATTTTTTTCAATATAATCAATTCTTGAATGATTAATCCTAGGATGTTCAAACGGTCGATCAGATGACTCGAATTTCAAATTTTTATTCTCGAATTTTAAAATTTCTAATTTATCAACCCTTTTTCTGAGCCACTGAATGGTAATTTCATCAACGGGAAAAACACCAGCCAATGCACCCCATTCAGTAGTCATATTAGCAATTGCTAGTCTATCTTCTAAGCCTATTCCACGGATACTTTCAGCACCGGTAAATTCAATCGCACAATTTAATACCTCATCATTATTAAACATTCCACACAAAGTAATTATAATATCCTTGCCAGTCACACCATCTTGTAGCTGCCCTTTAAATTCTACATTCGCAACAGGAGGTATCTGCCACCATGTTTTACCAGTAGCCCAAATCGCAGCAGCATCAGTTCGAACAATAGGTGTTCCCAAACATCCAATTCCGCCATACATATTAGAATGAGAATCAGACGCTACAGTCATGGTGTACGGAAACGCGTAACCTTCTTCGATAAGAATTTGATGACCGATTCCACGTCCAGCAGGATAAAAATCAACATTTTGAAGTTTGGAAAATTCTTCAATGGACGCGTATTTTGCTATATTCTAATATAAATTATATAATTTGACACTAAATTACGAAAGCTTTTGAAGAATATAATTAGTTGAACAGTTTAAAGTACCTTTTCGGATTTATTTTGAACATCGTGATCGATAGTGAATACGCATTGCTTCGGAAATTTAATTTTTTGTGCACCAATACTCTGAAACCTAAAAATTGAAAGTCAAAATATTTTACAGCCTGCGGTAATATGCAAGTATATAACCTACTTTGTTCTTACTGCAGCTGTGTTGTCGTGGGTCATTACGTGTTCAGGTTGAATTGTCACGAAATCACCACTTTTTACTTTCTGACCAGAGGATAAGTCTTGTGCATATTTTTGGACAATTTTTTCTATAAGATTTTGTTGGCGTTCTTCCAAGGCATAAAAACGACGATTGATAAATGGACTGTTGATAGGTTTAAATATAAAATTCCTTTGCCTTGCATTAAATAAAATCGCTCGCGTCAATGAGGTAGGCATCTTTTTTTTTTACGTATTAGACAATAGTACGACATATATATACGTTTTTAAGAAACCGAAAACGTAAAACCATTGAATCAAAATCATGTGAATAAATATAGATTGATTTTTATTTGTATATAATGAATTGAAAACGATAGATAGCATACAATCTCTTGAAGATAAATTATTACTTTAATTGCTTCCTTCCTATATTTTAATGATTTATTTTAGGCATCAATTTAAAATTGTTGATTACGTGCATTCCTGGATACGTGAATATGCGATTAGATGGGTCGAATTATTATAGCAAAACAGCTTTTTAAAAAAGGAGAATAACCCCTTTTTTTTATGATAGTTATATTCACGGATCGAAGATTTTTAAAGTGCTGTATTAGGTATGCATATATACTCATGTGACTGCCAATCAAAATTGCATATCGAATTTTATCAATTGATAATTTTCGGTATCGCATCTACAATTTATGTAGGATATAGCATTTACACTTTACATATCATTCAGCCTTTTTATTTGAGAATGAACAGATTTTCGACTCGAACGAATTTATACCGTTTACGTTCTGCCGGATTTTCCATTTTTCATCAACAAGTTTATAGAAAATTACCAGTACTTGCAACTTCATTATCCAAAATCAAGATCATTTCTTCTCAAAGTCTTTATTCTACAACAGCCGGTCTTTCTCGTAGCAATATCGAGGCTAGGATCATGGAAATTCTTAAATCTTTTGATAAAGTAGATTCAACAAAGGTATGAAGATGATATAGAAAACTAAATAATAAATCATTAGTATGAACTTAAAAATTTTGGTTATTCCTTCAAATTTAGTTTATCCGTCAAGAATTTCTTTTTGTTAAATAGTTTCTTTATGAATCGTCATCCATAAATTGTTTATTCACGTTAACATTATTTTGCTATGTACTTTTGTGGAATGAATTTTATCCAAAAAACGAAAAAATTTTCAATTTTATCTTTACTAAACACGAATCAAAACAATAAAGGTAACCCCCGAAGCACGCTTCGCCGATGATCTCGGATTGGATAGCCTGGACACTGTTGAAGTTGTCATGAATATTGAAGAAGATTTCTCAATCGAAATCCCTGATAAAGAGGCAGATGAGATCCGATCAATCAAAGATGCTGTGGATTATATTTCTAAACGCGAAGATGCTCATTGATTAGAGTTTATAACGGGTTATAGTAAACCGGGTCACCCGTGTCAAAACGGTTCAACCGGGCCAAAAATTTACAACAGTTGAACATAAAATTTAACACATTATTATTGTATTGTGAAAATAAACACTTTTTTTTCTTACTAATTTATCTAAATGTTCAAAGGTGCGTGTCACATGATAAGACGTCACATAATTCTTTAAAAATGGATGAATCGTCTTACTTCTGCAACCAGCTTTTTATTGTAAAAAGTTCTTATGCAATAAAGCAATATGCTACGTACTGGTTATTGATATGAGCGTGTGGTAATGGCCCTGGCAAACTCTAAATATTCAATCCCGCTAATCTGAATTTAAAAAAAAAGTTACAAAATTTCGAAGGCTACCATACGACTATCTATTACGAGAATTTCATTAATATGTAATACGCTGTGTGTTCGACTCGTTCGATAGTACCCGGCAATTCGTAGCGCTGGGGTTCGAGTTATGTAACGTGATTGCGTTGCGTGCGTACGTTGTTAATAAATTAAATACACTTTTTCCTTTCGTAATACCTTCCATTAATAACATTAATGAGCAATAGTAGATTATTACGTAATTACGAAATGGTTTTCTTAGTTACATATTTTGTAGTTAAAAGTTATGACTACATTTTGTGCAATGATCTCTAGCTTATTTGTGCCTAATAAAAAAACTTAGAAAGGGTCAATAGGGATAAGTAGTATCTTCGATAGTTTTTCTTTTTGTACCTTTCATTATACATCCAACAACTTACTGAGCTATTTGTGGCAGTGTCGTATAACGCTTAGTGTCTATAGTCGGTTTGACTTTAGTCGATTATAATATCTTTACCTTTAACTATATACATGTAACCTATGATTAATAACATGGTTATCATATTTTCAACTAAATAAATTATAAAAGAACATTATTACAAGGTTTAAATTATTCAATTTGCTATCTAAAATTATGTTTTTGATCATACAATTTAAAGATTTCATAGTTAATATATAAGAATGTTAATAGAAATCAAGTAATTATATATAATAAGTTTTTTAAAAATTTTAAATTAAATTAAACTTGATAATATTTTTTATTGTAATTTATAAATATATGTATATATATTTTTTGTTTTTGCTAAGGTTGATGTTTATAACAGTTATTATTTTTATACATTACATATAACTTGTACAAGATGAATATGCAACTTTTAATTATATATTAACGTAGTTTATTTGCAGGTTTATATTAGTTGTTATATTTATAATCTACTAGAAGATTATTTATTTAAATATTCTGATTCTTATATTATATCAAACAAATAATATCTGGTTTTTGTACATCTAAATATTATTTAATCTAATATTTAGTTTTTTTTTGTATAATTGTTAAACTGTTATCATTTCAAAGCATATTATCTGATTATAAAGTTTGCGATACTTTTTTATTAACTAATTTACTTGCTTTATAGATTATTAATAAGGTTATATGTTTATAAAGTTTATTCAAACTCTAGTATTAATTTTATATTGTAATAAAATTTACTAAAAACTAGCAAGTTGTAGTAAACTTTAAACAGCATAAGTGCTAAGTAAAAGATCTTTTATTTAAAAAAAAATAAAATAAATAAAAATAAACAAAAATAAGAAATAAATATTTTAAAAATAAAATTTAAATTCAATAGCCTCTTAGACATTATAAGATATAATAATAGAACTAGCTTTTAAACTAAATTCTACTATTTAGTATATGTAAATTAAGTATAACAAATTGTTTACCTTATATAAGAATTATTAGACTTTAAAGTTTAGAAATATTTATAGAATATAATTAGAGAAAAAAAAGTCTTGATAATCAGATCATTAATAGTTATATGTGATTTTTAAATTTTAATAATTTTTTTTTTTTTTTTTTTGCTCTTAAGCAGTCACGCTAGTACTTTATTAAGATTCTTGCAACTATATACAATAACTACATAGAAT